CTACAGGCCAGTCAGCCTCACTTCAGTCCCTGGAAAAATCATGGAGCAGGTCCTCAAAGAATCAATCCTGAAGCACTTACATGAGAGGAAAGTGATCAGGAACAGCCAGCATGGATTCACCAAGGGAAGGTCATGCCTGACTAATCTAATCCCTTCTATGATGAGATTACTGGTTCTGTGGATGAAGGGAAAGCAGTGGATGTATTGTTTTTGACTTTAGCAAAGCTTTTGACAGTCTCCCACAGTATTCTTGTCAGCAAGTTAAGGAAGTATGGGCTGGATGAATGCACTACAAGGTGGGTAGAAAGCTGGCTAGATTGTCGGGCTCAAGGTAGTGATCAATGGCTCCATGTCTAGTTGGCAGGGTATCAAGTGGTGTGCCCAAGGGTGGTCCTGGGGGTTTTGTTCAATATCTTCATAAATGATCTGGAGGATGGTGTGGATTGCACTCTCAGCAAATTTGGGATGATACTAAACTGGGAGGAGTGGTAGATACGCTGGAGGGGAGGGATAGGATACAGAAGGACCTAGACAAATTGGAGGATTGGGCCAAAAGAAATCTGATGAGGTTCAATAAGGATAAGTGCAGGGTCCTGCACTTAGGACGGAAGAACCCAATGCACAGCTACAGACTAGGGACCGAATGTCTAGGCAGCAGTTCTGCGGAAAAGGACCTAGGGGTGACAGTGGACGAGAAGCTGGATATGAGTCAGCAGTGTGCCCTTGTTGCCAAGAAGGCCAATGGCATTTTGGGATGTATAAGTAGGGGCATAGCGAGCAGATCGAGGGACGTGATCGTTCCCCTCTATTCGACATTGGTGAGGCCTCATCTGGAGTACTGTGTCCAGTTTTGGGCCCCACACTTCAAGAAGGATGTGGATAAATTGGAGAGAGTCCAGCGAAGGGCAACAAAAATGATTAGGGGTCTGGAACATATGAGTTATGAGGAGAGGCTGAGGGAGCTGGGATTGTTTAGCCTGCAGAAGAGAAGAATGAGGGGGGATTTGATAGCTGTTTTCAACTACCTGAAAGGGGGTTCCAAAGAGGATGGCTCTAGACTGTTCTCAATGGTATCAGATGACAGAACGAGGAGTAATGGTCTCAAGTTACAGTGGGGGGAGGTTTAGATTGGATATTAGGAAAAACTTTTTCACTAAGAGGGTAGTGAAACACTGGAATGCGTTACCTAGGGAGGTGGTAGAATCTCCTTCCTTAGAGGTTTTTAAGGTCAGGCTTGACAAAGCCCTGGCTGGGATGATTTAACTGGGAATTGGTCCTGCTTTGAGCAGGGGTTGGACTAGATGACCTTCTGGGGTCCCTTCCAACCCTTATATTCTATGATTCTATGATCTAGCACACCTATCTCAATTTCCCCTTGCAGAATCCCCAGTAAATCCACTTCAGGCTGTCTTGCCTGAATAATACCCCTCCCTGGGGTCAGTGTATTACCAAAATACAGTTCATTAAATTCCTGATAGAAGTTCCAGACATAGTCCATTTCCCACATCCAGCGTATATAGTCCTTAAACCCCTTCCCAGAGTGCACCCCCACCACCTTCTCTGCCGGGAGTTCTTCCATATCACACTCCAGTATCTTCCGCTACACCTAGGCTCCTCATCTGTCCTCTTCTTCTGTCGCTCTGCCAGGGCAGCCACTTCAGCCCATTCAGCTGGAGTGCAATTCCACTCTTCCCAGTGGGAATCCCCTCTGCCTCTCTGCCGGGAGATCATCTTTACTAGGGAGCATCCCTCACTCCCTCTGGCCCTCTCACTGTTCCTCTGAGTCCAGCTCTCTGGTGTGGAGATGTCCGGTGGTAAGCCCCTCTGCTGCTTCCCTGCTTTCAGCCCTCTCATGTCCTCCAGCCCCTGGCTCTCTGGCTTGCGGAAATCAGCCAACAAACCCTTTTGCTGCTCTCTGTGCCTTCAACCTTCCTCCAAGGAACACCTTCGGCTTCCTTCTGGGACTTTCCACAGACCCCTGGTACCTGGCAGCTCTCACCTGCCCCTGATTCCCAGTGAGGCAGCTCTGATTCAGCAGGTCCCTGTCTCTCTCTCTCTCACTGGGTCTCACCCCTCAGATTCTCTCTGGTCCTGTATAGCCCCATGTACTGCCAGGACCTCTTAAATAGCCAAATGGGAGCTCCTGTTCTAGCACAGGGGAGCTGGACCTACTTAATTTATTTCATGTCATCCTGTGACAGAGTGACATGAAAATATGCAGGAAAAATCCCCCCACCCCATCACAACGCTCATCAAAACAATTTGGGGGTTTTTTTGTGACAAATATCTATATTAATTTGATATACTATTTTTCTTGTAAATCTAAATTTCCCCCTCCCATTATGTCTGAAATAAAAAATGCCTTTAAAATACCCTATTTATGTAGTGGAATTACTCAAGGCCAACGGTATGCATCTCTGAACGATTTCTTGTCTCATAACACTGTTTTTTTTTTAAAATCTCTTATCACAAGCATATTTTGCAAAGGCATCCAAGCTGGGATGTTGTGATCTTGGCCTCCTTTCTGCGTTGATTAATGCTAAACATTTTCTTACGAAAAAGTCACTGTGTGGCAATGTTAATACCTTTAGCTAGAGCTACGGAAAATATACAAAGACCATGCAAAAATCCTTTTTACAGCCTTCTCAGTGCACTCAGTACTGATGGGCAACACATTCACGATTGCAGGCAATGGCCTCTCAAATACAGGCTGACAAATGGGTGGTGATTATGTGATATTAATAGATCATCTTTTAATGACCCATCCAGGTGACCCTCACAGGAATTTGAACTGCTGCAGACTTGGGATGCTCAGAACACATTTCCCAGGCCAGTTGTAACCTGCATTAACCTAGCGTGGGTCTTTGTTTCCCTCTAGTCTAATCCTGCCAAAAAGGGTAGTTTTTCAGTCCTATTTTGAGGACTGAAGAAAACAACCATGCCAGGATTTAAAGAAATTGTTCTGTGTGTCACATCAGAAGGGTAACAATTTCTTCCAATACCATACGAGTTCTCTAAAAGATTGCTCACAGAATTATTCTAATCATTCATCTCTAACATGGAACTAACTTAAAGGCTTTGATGATTACTCTGCGTACCCAGGTTCTGGGAAATTATTAATTGGAGTCTTATTCCATTTGACTTCTTCAGAGCTCACGTTACAGGTAGCAATAACTCTGCATTTCATTGGTTGGCTTTAATCACTAAGGAAATAAAGGCTGGTTCCAAATAGAGTTACTAACATTTTAAAACCATAGTAATTAAGCTATCTGGATTGTTTGGCAAGCTAGGTTCAAGCAAACTATATCTATTTGAATATGGCCAAATGTATATTCATGCATCCAGGAACAAAGTATGTAGGGTGCACATACAGGATGGTGGGCTTTGAAAAGGACTTGGGAGTCACGGTGGATAATTAAAAGCTCCCAGTGCAACATGAGGAGCAAAAGGGCTAATGAAATCCTTGGATATATGAACAAGGGAACATCCAGTAAGAGGAGGGAGGTTACATTACCTCTGTAACTGGCACTGAAGTGACCACTGCTGGAATACTGTGTCCAGTTCTCGTATCCACAATTCAAGAAGGATGTTGATAAATTAGAGAAAGTTCAGAGAAGAGTCACGAGAATCATTAAAGGATTAAGAAAGCATACACTCAAGTAGCTCAATCTGTTTAGTTTAACAAAGAGACTGTTAAGGAGTGATTTGGTCACAGTCTGTAAATACCTACTTGGGGAATGAAATTTGATAGAGGACTCCTCAGTCTAGCAGACTAAGGTATAAGATGATTCAATGGCTGCAAATTGAAGTTAGACAAATAAGGAATGGAAATAAGGTGCAAATTTTTAACAGTGAGGGACCACAGGAACAATTTACCAATGGTGAATCCTCCATCCCTAGACATTTTAAAATCAAGATTTAGAAAAAAAACAAAAAGATATACTTCAATGAAATCCTGTGGTGCAGTTTACAGGATGTCAGGCTAGACGAATATCACAATAGTCCCTCGTGCCTTTATAATCTATCAAAAAGTGTTCTGTTGCTTTAAGAGTGAACTGTGCTCTCTCATTACAGGAAAAAGTCTCATGGTCATTCATCCTGTGTTGTTCTCCTGGCAAACTAGTTTTAAAACCACCCACCATGATTATCGCCCTAAAGGGAAGAACTAGTAGAATCAACCAGATCATAATCCACAAAACGTAATGTTTAATATCACCCACATTCAATTCATTGACCAGGTGCCACTGCAGTCTAGAGCACTTCAGGATTACAAGGATTAAGCAGAGGTGAAAGGTACCACGGGGAACTAAGCATCAAACTCTGACTCATCAGCTTCTTCAGTCAGTAGACCACTTTGCAAGGGAAAGATGATCTCATTCCCCCCTCTGACAATCCCACTACTTGATTCTCAAAATGGTACATTCCACATAGACCACTGTGGGTTCATGGTCCACAGTCTGAGAACAACTGTTCTTGTAAAGATGGTCTTCCAAATGAGACCCAGTGCAATATCTTTCTGAGTTTACAGATAACATGAAATGACGACTCCAAGAGCTGCAAACTGACCCTGATTCATTCATTTCAATGTGGTGGCGACCCAAGAATGATATTCAAGTTGATGGTTTCACTATTTCATTGCTGACAGTTTTAACAAACACATTAGCTGGATGTTTCCATCTCCTGACTATCATTGCCGATAAAGGAAAATTCAGAGTGGCCAGAACCTATCCTCAATCTTTTTGCAAAGCTCCCAATTGACATCAGTGGGAAGTAGAACTGGCTGAAATTGAAAAGTTTTTGAGACAAAACATGGGTTTTGAAAGGAGCAAACATTTTGGCAAAATGTTTATGTTCGTCTATGTTTTTTAAAGAAATTATTTGAAACAAAATCTCCCCTCCCCCCCACCCACCCCCAAGGTGTTTCTTTTTGGTAGCAGTCATTGCTATAGGATCACCATCTGATGACTGATTCTTGGTATTTCTTAGTAAGAAACACTTACCTCACTGTTGTTGGTGTATCTCCAGAACGCAGCCTGTATCAGTGCACAGAAAACAATGGCAAAACAGAAGAATCCCTGAGGATAAAGAGAATGCACTGTTACTTGCAGCATTTCCTCTTAGGGGCTGAAAATATTTATGTGAAAACACAGTAGGAGAATAGGTTTCAGAGTAACAGCCGTGTTAGTCTGTATTCACAAAAAGAAAAGGAGTACTTGTGGCACCTTAGAGACTAACCAATTTATTTGAGCATGAGCTTTCGTGAGCTACAGCTCACTTCATCGGATGCATACCACGGAAACTGCAGCAGACTTTATATATACACAGAGAATATGAAACAATACCTCCTCCCACCCCACTGTCCTGCTGGTAATAGCTTATCTAAAGTGATCATCAGGTTGGGCCATTTCCAGCACAAATCCAGGTTTTCTCACCCTTCACCCCCCCACACAAATTCACTCTCCTGCTGGTGATAGCCCATCCAAAGTGACAACTTTTTACACAATGTGCATGATAATCAAGTTGGGCCATTTCCTGCACAAATCCAGGTTCTCTCACCCCCTCACCCCCCTCCCAAAAACCACACACACAAACTCACTATCCTGCTGGTAATAGCTCATCCAAAGTGACCATTCTCCCTACAATGTGCATGATAATTAAGGTGGGCCATTTCCAGCACAAATCCAGGTTTTCTCACATCCCCCCCCACCCCCATACACACTCAAACTCACTCTCCTGCTGGTAATAGCTCATCCAAACTGACCACTCTCCAAGTTTAAATCCAAGTTAAACCAGAACATCTGGGGGGGGGGGGGGGGGTAGGAAAAAACAAGAGGAAATAGGCTACCTTGCATAATGACTTAGCCACTCCCAGTCTCTATTTAAGCCTAAATTAATTAGTATCCAATTTGCAAATGAATTCCAATTCAGCAGTTTCTCGCTGGAGTCTGGATTTGAAGTTTTTTGTTTTAAGATAGCGACCTTCATGTCTGTAATCGCGTGACCAGAGAGATTGAAGTGTTCTCCGACTGGTTTATGAATGTTATAATTCTTGACATCTGATTTGTGTCCATTTATTCTTTTACGTAGAGACTGTCCAATTTGACCAATGTACATGGCAGAGGGGCATTGCTGGCACATGATGGCATATATCACATTGGTGGATGTGCAGGTGAACGAGCCTCTGATAGTGTGGCTGATGTTATTAGGCCCTGTGATGGTGTCCCCTGAATAGATATGTGGGCACAATTGGCAACGGGCTTTGTTGCAAGGATAAGTTCCTGGGTTAGTGGTTCTGTTGTGTGGTATGTGGTTGTTGGTGAGTATTTGCTTCAGGTTGCGGGGCTGTCTGTAGGCAAGGACTGGCCTGTCTCCCAAGATTTGTGAGAGTGTTGGGTCATCCTTTAGGATAGGTTGTAGATCCTTAATAATGCGTTGGAGGGGTTTTAGTTGGGGGCTGAATGTGACGGCTAGTGGCGTTCTGTTATTTTCTTTGTTAGGCCTGTCCTGTAGTAGGTAACTTCTGGGAACCCTTCTGGCTCTATCAATCTGTTTCTTTACTTCTGCAGGTGGGTATTGTAGTTGTAAGAAAGCTTGACAGAGATCTTGTAGGTGTTTGTCTCTGTCTGAGGGGTTGGAGCAAATGCGGTTGTATCGCAGAGCTTGGCTGTAGACGATGGATCGTGTGGTGTGGTCAGGGTGAAAGCTGGAGGCATGCAGGTAGGAATAGCGGTCAGTAGGTTTCCGGTATAGGGTGGTGTTTATGTGACCATTGTTTATTAGCACTGTAGTGTCCAGGAAGTGGATCTCTTGTGTGGACTGGACCAGGCTGAGGTTGGTGGTGGGATGGAAATTGTTGAAATCATGGTGGAATTCCTCAAGGGCTTCTTTTCCATGGGTCCAGATGATGAAGATGTCATCAATATAGCGCAAGTAGAGTAGGGGCTTTAGGGGACGAGAGCTGAGGAAGCGTTGTTCTAAATCAGCCATAAAAATGTTGGCATACTGTGGGGCCATGCGGGTACCCATAGCAGTGCCGCTGATCTGAAGGTATACATTGTCCCCAAATGTGAAATAGTTATGGGTAAGGACAAAGTCACAAAGTTCAGCCACCAGGTTAGCCGTGACATTATCGGGGATAGTGTTCCTGACGGCTTGTAGTCCATCTTTGTGTGGAATGTTGGTGTAGAGGGCTTCTACATCCATAGTGGCCAGGATGGTGTTATCAGGAAGATCACCGACGGATTGAAGTTTCCTCAGGAACTCAGTGGAGTCTCGAAGATAGCTGGGAGTGCTGGTAGCGTAGGGCCTGAGGAGGGAGTCTACATAGCCAGACAATCCTGCTGTCAGGGTGCCAATGCCTGAGATGATGGGGCGCCCAGGATTTCCAGGTTTATGGATCTTGGGTAGTAGACAGAATATCCCAGGTCGGGGTTCCAGGGGTGTGTCTGTGCAGATTTGATCTTGTGCTTTTTCAGGAAGTTTCTTGAGCAAATGCTGTAGTTGCTTTTGGTAACTCTCAGTGGGATCATAGGGTAATGGCTTGTAGAAACTCGTGTTGGAGAGCTGCCGAGCAGCCTCTTGTTCATATTCCGACCTATTCATGATGACAACAGCACCTCCTTTGTCAGCCTTTTTGATTATGATGTCAGAGTTGTTTCTGAGGCTGTGGATGGCATTGCGTTCCGCATGGCTGAGGTTATGGGGCAAGTGATGCTGCTTTTCCACAATTTCAGCCCGTGCACGTCGGCGGAAGCACTCTATGTAGAAGTCCAGTCTGCTGTTTCGACCTTCAGGAGGAGTCCACCTAGAATCCCTCTTTCTGTAGTGTTGATAGGGAGGTCTCTGTGGATTAGTATGTTGTTCAGAGGTATTTTGGAAATATTCCTTGAGTCGGAGTTAATTATATTGGCTTTGGCAGGTTTAATGCAAGTCACAGTTAAAAGTTAACTTCTTTTAAACAACCCTCAAAATCTCAGTCACTTAAAGGGAGCCAGCTACACAATGGTTTTAAAATTCCCTGGCAGGGACCATAACTACACAAGGGCCTTTAAAGGATGTTCAGTGGAAGAGCATGTTGTGTACTATAAAGTTGCTAACCTATTGCTTTAGGTTCTACCAAAAAAAAAGTGAAATTAAGAAATTAGATTTAAAACATGGTTCTATTCTGAAGTGGGACTATGTGAAAATCTGCACCTTCCTACTCAAGAGATCCAAACTCCCCGTGTGTGTTCAGAGCCTGTCCGCTCAGTAGAGAGAGAAAAATATTAACAGTTTTTTTGCCTCAATAACACTGCAGAGCCAACAGCTATGAGAGAATGAGCTGGATTCTATTCTGGCTTGTGCTTCAGAGTTGTTAACTAAGTTCCAACTGCAAAGCCAAGCTGATTCTTACTGACTCCAGTCGGGGTTGTGCAGGTGTAGGACTGCCCAGGTGTAATCAAGGTCAGAAACTGACCCAGAATAGTATGGCTAGTGATAATGATAAAGAAGCCAGAAAGAATACAGGCTGGCTTTCCTATTCTTGATGAAGTTTACAGGGCTGGCTGTTAGAAAAGCCATCTCTTTAGTTGTAGAAACCAAACCAAACCAAACCAACACTATTTGGAGATTGAGTGAAATGTGGGATGCCTGTCATAAGGATGAGACCAATGGATCCTGCTTACCTAAAAGGAACATGACAGTAAAATGTTTAAAGCCCAATGGATCCTGAAGCTGAATCCAGAATTTCATTGAAAGCTAACATTTTGTGAAAAATTGTCAACATTTTAAACATTTGTTCTCTTTTTTGGAAATTTTTCTATGGCTTCATTAAATGGATGTTTTAATTGAAATGTTATAAAATATATCTAAAAAATGTTGAAATTTTTAGTTTACCAAAACCCAGCTTTCAGGAAGAAACAAAAAAAGTCAATGTTGTCAATACAATGTGATAAAAAATATTGATTAAAAATGTCGCAAACTTTTGCAAAAAATGGGATATGTTTCCATTTTGAACCCTGAAAAATGAAAACAGACATTTTCTGCAAAATCATTTTCATGTGTTTTGACCCTTTCTAGCGTGAAGTACTTCACGCTATAACATTGAAAAAGCACCACATACATTCTCAGGGTTTTGTTCTGAGAACAGGATTTCTGTGCCTGTGTTTCTGGACTCAAGATTTCCCTGTTTACAAGCTAGGCCTGTTTGGGTATGAGAGACTCCAGGAAAACATTGGCGTAGATTATTAAGAAACAGCTTGCATTTTCTATGTACAAAGTTATACAAAAGTGACTATGTGGGCTGTCTTTACACGGTCCATGTGTTTAGTGCGTGCCCAGTCTCCTCTTTTTGTACTCAAAACTGATCAAAACGTTTTCTTTGATGACAAGTGCCCTTTCTGTAAAATAAATGAAAAAATTCTGGTTTCTGACAAAAGCCAAAAAAACTAATTAAGTTTCCTGCTTATTTATATGTGGTATGCTTTGGTGCTAACAACTTGATATTACTGACCTACACCTTAGAGCTTGCCAGGTTCCCCCAAAATTCCTTCACTATGGGATAACTCCATCCAGCAATTGGATATTGTCCTCCTATTCCAGCTTTTTAGTTCAATTCATTCTGGACCATGAGTATCTACTCTTCCAAGCCACTCCTGTCTAAATTAATAAAAGCTCAAACCAACATAGACATAAAGGAACAGGTTTCTTCCTTTGTTTCCTCCCCTGTTGACATAAGTCTGTTTTTCTATATTGTGGGAAATGAACTAAAGGTTTGTGAACCAGTTCATATGTTTGTTATTGTGACCAAGGGCAGGTCTATACTACGGCAGGGATCAATGCTCTGAGCTCGATCCACTGGCAGTCAATTTAGCGGGTCTAGTAAAGACCTGCCAAATCGACTGCAGATCGCTCTCCAGTCGACCACTGTACTCTACCCGCAATGAGAAAAGTAAGGTAAGTTGATGGGAGATTTTCTCCCATTGACCCCCCGCGATGTAGACCCTGCGGTAAGTCGACCTAAGGTACGTCGACGCCAGCTATGTTATTCATGAAGCGTAGCATAAGTCGACTTACCATGGTAGTGTAGACACAGCCTAAGTCAAGGTCCCCCGCCTCAGTTGAATCCTGACAAATACATAATTGAAATCAGACTGGCTCACCTGTCTGTTAGTATTGTTAAAACAGGTATTAGAATTATAAGAATGTGTTTAGACTTCATGGAATGCTTGTCAATTGCTGACTGCATGCATTAATTTCACTTAACATCTGTATCCCATATTATATAACGTAATATTTGAGTGTTGCATTGTAAGCCCTGCAACTGTATCAATCACCAGACAGGAGAGAGACATTAACTAGTGTAAAGTGCTGATCTCTAACAGAATGTGTTACATCCTGGCCAACAAGGAGGCCCATCAACACCAGATGGATTAGAGTGGAACATTAAAGAGGACAAAAAAATTTGTTGTTAACTCTCATCCCTTCCCCCCACCCCCCCACCATGAAGATGAGTCTTGCAAGTGAATTCCTCCCATCAGCTGAGTTTGCAGCTCAAAGCAGGAGGGAAGGTAGGGAATAAAAACTCCTAACAAGAAGGAACTCTGGGCCTGTCTGCACATAAACTGCTACAGCAGCACCTCTACAGCTGCACCACCGTGGTGTTTCAGTGGAGACTTTCCCATCAGCGTAGGTAATCCACCTCCTAAACAGGTGATAGCTATATTGATGGGAGAATTCCCCTGTCCACCTAGCGCTGTCAACACCGCGGGTTAGGTCTGTTAAAGGTATGAAAAATCCATCCCTGAGTGACACAGTTAGAGTGACAGTTATGCTGACCTAATTTCCTAATATAGATGAGGCCTGTATCTTTATGCTGCTCGGACTCAGGGCGGCGGGTGGCGCAAGCATTACTAGGTAGAAGCAAAACCTCGGTTAGCCCTAAAGGACTATATAGAGCAGGGGTCGGCAACCTTTCAGAAGTGGTGTGCCAAGTCTTCATTTATTCATTCTAATTTAAGGTTTTGTGAGCCAGTAATACATTTTAATGTTTTTAGAAGGGCTCTCTCTATAAGTCTATAATATAGAGCTAAACTGTTGTATGTAAAGTAAATAAGGTTTTTTAAATGTTTCAGAAGTTTCATTTAAAAGGAAATTCAAAGGCAGTTCTTATCAGTTTAGTACGATCCTTGCCCTTGCTTTTCCTTGCTGAGTTTTTCAATGTCTGGCACGTATTTGGATACTTTAAGTTGCACACAGGCTTCTGAGTGATCAGTTGTTAATCGGTTCCACGAGGGACAGAGGACAGATTTCATGTGTGAAAATACCTGTTATCACAGGTATGTGGATCCAAATGCTGAAAGCATTGCAAACGCAATTTTCTTCAAACAGTTAAATTTCACTGGCAGGGACATCCAGCAGGTCAGAAGAGCGGCCCCATGATCTCTCTCAGTAGCTTTAAGTGCAGTCTGCAGATCTCCAAACTTTGATGCCCACAATTCTGACCTTTTTAACTGAATGAGCTACATTTCAAAATCTTCAACACTCTTCCACTCAAATACAGACAAATCCAAGTGGCTTTCGTTGAACTTTTCAGGTTTAATTAGAAAAGAAAGCATTGGGCCAAATCACTGAAAATCTTGAAATCTGTCAAAAAATTCTGATTCCAGTTCTTGCATGTACATTCCAATCTCATCGACACTGACAGTGCAACATGTCAATAGCTCTTTTATGTGTTGGAAGTAGCAGAAAGTCAAAGTTCGAATATCCCGAGAAAAAACTGCTGGTTTTACAACACATGCCTTCCAGGTTTCATAAAGATCCAGAACCGTTTGCCCTGAACCCTGGAGACGGAGGTTGAGTTCGTTTAAGTGAGCGGTGATGTCAGTTAGAAAGATGAGCTTACACAGCCATTTGTCATCATCCAGTTCGGGGTAGTTTTGTCCTTTTTCTGACAAAAAGGCCTTGATTGCATCAAAACAGTTTACAAAGCGCAGCAAACCCTTGCCCACAACTTAGCCACCAAATGTTGCTGTGACGTGAAATGAACGGACATCTAACTTTGCTCTCTTAGGAGCTGACTTTTTGTCAAATGTACCCCTCAACTTAGAGTGAGAAAAAAATCGTGACAGACGGCACGCACAACATCAAACGCAACAGGCTGTTCCACGTGACGTGATAGTGATGTAAGCAGCAAATCAGGACTTAAAAATATCCCAGTACAGTGGCACTGCAGCAAATTTTAATCCCCCACTTGCCCCTGTCTGCACCCCTCACTGCACCAGGCTGGGGCAGTGGGCCATAGCTGGGGGCAGCTGCAGAGCCCCAGGCTGGCGGCCAGGACCTGGGGCCAGCAGTGGAGTGCCCGGGACCAGTGGCTGGGACCTGGGGCTGGAGGCGGGCTGAGTGGGGGCCGGTGGACGGGACTCCGGGTGCCAGGGGGCCAGCAGTAGGACCCCAGGCCAAGAGCAGAGCCCCTGGGACCGGTGGCCAGGACCCAGGCAGTGTGAGTGCCACTCAAAATCATCTTGAGTGCCGCCTTTGGCCACGTGCCATAGGTTGCTGACCCCTGATATAGAGCTTGGTTTTCATAGACACTTCTATTTCTTTTTGAAATTTAAGATTGGAACTCATTTGTGTGTGTGTATGTTTACCTGCTTTAACACTGTATATAACTCTCATTTCCTTTTCCTATATAGTAAATCTTTAGATAGTTTATTACAGGATTGGCTACAAGCATTGTCTCTGGTGTGAGATCTAAAGTGCAATTGACTTGGGGTAAGTGGCTGGTCATTTGGGATTGGGAGTATTGCTGTGATACTTGGTGTAAGTGACCATCTATCACAAATATAAGCTTCTTACCTGAGTGACAAGACAGTTAACAGGTTTCAGAGTAGCAGCTGTGTTAGTCTGTATTCGCAAAAAGAAAAGGAGGACTTGTGGTACCTTAGAGACTAACCAATTTATTTCAGCATAAGCTTTCGTGAGCTACAGCTCACTTCATCGGATGCTATAGCTCACGAAAGCTTATGCTCAAATAAATTGGTTAGTCTCGAAGGTGCCACAAGTACTCCTTTTCTTTTTATGAAGACAGTTAAGAGTACTGTATGGAACGGTCTGTGTCATGTTTAGGCTGTTACAGCACCTCAGGAGTTTACACATGATCACTGGTTGGTGAAATCTTGTATAGAACTTACAATCAAATTTGGGGTTTGTGCCCTGGTTTGTAAGAGTCTGCCCTGAGGTTGGCACTCATGCTTTTGAATTACTGCAGGACAGCTTGACAGTTATAACCCCAGGAATGTTTTTCACGAGATTATGTTTCCTGACTTGCAACTCTTCTCTGCCTGTTCAAGTTCAGAGACATCAGGCTGGATTCTCTGGCTTACTCCATTAGCTTTGTGCTGCAGGGATGGAATCTGATCACAACACAATAGATTCCCTTTGACTGTAGGGGAGCCCTCAGTATGTACAGAGCTGGTGTAACTGTTCCTATGCCAGTCACCACACTGTGAGCAGGGAAGGCTGTGGCCAGAGCATCGTTGGGGACCCTTACCAGCTGCTAGTAGAAAGAGCAGCCTTCCATAACTAGTTCCATTGTGGCTTCCTCCCCTCTTCTGCACTGAGCGAAAATTCAGTACAGCAGAGAATCTGGGCCATCATTTGTTTTTAAGGAATTAAACGATAATCATGGGGAAGAAGGGGGGGGAAAGATAGCCAGCCTTTCTAAACCTCAGCCATGCAGTGCATTAGCAATAGCTAGTCAGTTGACTACAACGGCCCTCAAAGCAGTTTTTGCAGCAGGGCTCAAGCACTAAAAAAGAAGAGCCAGAACTCATGATTTCAACAAGAATACGTTATAACAGTACCTGAAAGAGGCTTTTAGGAAAATTCCAATATTTTTAGCATGAATAATCATTGGTTTACTTTACAGTTATCCGAGTACTGGAATGCTGCTTCGGCTCCCCCCAAAAGTGCCAGAATCACTCATGCACTGTTTTATGGTCAGTTTTCAGGGAACAAGCACACTTTGAACTGGCCAGATGAGGCTTGATTTTGTTATTAATAAGGCTTCCAAGAAACAGGTACATACCTTTGTTCAGGTAGGACTATGCACCTCTGTAAACCAATCCAGTGCTCTACTGACCTGGATGAATATGGCAGAAGATGATGAAGGGAGTGGACTTTGAAAGAATTTGATATAGGACAAATGCAATCTATATGTTTCACTTTGATCAAGTTAGAGTCAGTCTGGACAGTGGATATTGCACAAATTGCTTGCATTTCTCCTTCAGGCCTAGAGATGGCAGATTCTCTGTAACTTGAAGACTTTAAATCAGGGGTGGACAAACTTGCTGACCTGAGGGCCACATCTGGATATGGAAATTGTATGGCGGGCCATGAATGCTCACAAATTTGGGGGCTGGGGTGCGGGAGGGGGTGAGGGCTCTAGCTGGGGGCGAGGGCTCGGGGGTGGGGCCAGAAATGAGGAGTTCACAGTGTGGGAGGATACTGTGGGCTGAGACCGAGGGGTTCAGAAGGCGGGAAGGGGATCAGGGCTGGGGCAGGGGGCTGGGGCGTGGAAGGGTGTCAGGGGTGCAGGCTCTGGGTGGTGCTTACCTCAAGCAGCTCCCAGAAGCAGCGGCATGTCCCCTCTCCGGCTCCTATGCAGAGGCACAGCCAGGCGGCTCTGCACACTGCCCCATCTGCAGGCACCTCCCCTGCAGCTCCCATTGGCTACGGTTCCTGGCCAATGGGAGCTGCGGGGGCAGTGCTTGGGATGGGGGCAGCATGCAGAGCCCCCTGGCTGCCCCATGCATAGGAGCCACAGTGGGGACATGCTGCTGCTTCGGGGAGCCGCGCAGAGTGGGACAAGCCCCTGACCCTGCTCCCTGGTTGGAGCGCCAGAGCGGGGCAAGCCCCGGACCCCGCTCCCCGGCAGGAGCTCGAGGGCCAAATTAAAACATCTGGAGGGCTGGATGTGACCCCCGGGCCGTAGTTTGCTCACCCCTGCTTTAAATCATGATTTGAGGATGTCAGTAACTCAGCCAGAGTTATGGGTCTATTACTAGAATGGGGGGCGTCAGATTCTGTGGCCTGCGATGTGCAAGAGGTCAGACTAGAGATGA